TTGAGTATTGAGAGTATTGAGTTACTCCACACCCACCTCCCTGCAACTCCCATTGTCCTCCCTCACACAGAACAGGTTTCAGCTTCCTGGTAAGGAATTACGAGACTTGGGGTCCCAGTAGACTGCCTGCGGGCATGGGGTGGGGGAGGATGGAAACAGGGGGCCATAGTCAGATCTCCTCAAATAGTTGCATGAAGTTTGGGGGAGGGGAAGGCCTAGGAACCCCAGGAGGCATTGTAGCTGCAAGTAGGAGCTTATAACTAAGGATATTCCAGATGGAGAATTTAAGGTGTCTTCCCTCTCCATCCACAGTAAGTGGGCTATTAAAAAAGATCCTTCGAGAGGATCTTTTGATGACTCAGTCCAATTCAAAGTTCCAGCTTGCCCCTCGAATATTTTTGGTGATGGCACAGAAATCACCCCACAGAGTTTAGAGACCTAGCAGTTGCCTCTGACCACTGCACAGGTGCTCCATGATAAAACACGGATCACGCCCAGGGCTGTTGCAGTTAAAGGGTGGTTTGTGAGAGTTCCCATAGGTTCCTGGAAATGATGTTGGGAGGATTTAGGAAGGTTATTCCTAGAGTAGAATGAATCTATGATAGTGTTGGCGAACATCTTTGTTTTCTGTTGCACCTTAAATGGCCTACTCAAGGGCAGCTCTAGGCAAACCTTGCCTAGACACAGTGAAATCTCCAATCTTCAGCCTCACAAGGTTTCCTGGGTTCGTGGTGAGAGGTTGTAGCCTCTCTCTGGCACTGAGATTTTGTGCCTAAGGTGTTATCCATAATACATTTACATAGACTTTTTGAATCCTAGTGTCCAGGAAACAAATCTGAGTTGGCAGAGTGAGTAGGATAAGAACAGAAGCAGAGTAGTATGGTTGGATATTCGATACAAACTGATGAGGAAGATGAAGGGACTCAGTCCAATGAGAAGGAATTGTGTCAGCATACACATATCACATACGTGTAACACAGATGTCAGACATACAGGCACAGGGTGTACACATGTACACACATAATGAAGAGGGAAAAATAAACCTTGTTGAGGAAGAAAAAAATTAAACAATTGTGCCTATAATGGAATTTGCAAGAGGGAGAATCTGTGTGCAATCTTGGGACCCGAGAGTTCTTCTGGAATTGGCTGGAAGTGGTCCTCTGCATGGAGACTGGATGCAGGCACAGAACAGCAGAGACACGGCATGGCAGACATAGTCTGGATTCTGTGATGTGAAATAGGCCTCTCCCCCCACACCCACTGTGGAATGAAATCAAGTTGAGCATGTGGACTTGATGAGACTTTGACAGCTGAAGTGGGCAGCCTATCAGGTGTCAGGCCTGACAAGAATAAACCCTAAAACAGGAATAAGCAAGTCATGCTATGCAAGAGCTGAATGGAATGAGAGAAGATTATTTCCAGTTGAGTAACTCAAGATCAGAAGGATAAGTGGATCTCTTTAAGGTCAAAGATGGGAGGGCCTAAGGCTGGAATTGATCCCCTGGTATTCACTTTTCTTCTCTTGTCAAAACACATCCACACTTCTAGAGAGAGAAAGCCATAACTGGGTTGGAGAAGCCTGAGGGAAATCTTACCTAGCCCTGTCCCTTAGCCAACTGAGTTTCGTGTTCTCCACGAATCCTGGCAGCGAGTTCACACTCTTGGCTTAGATCATTTCCAATTCTGGGAAACTCTTTAGGAGTTTTGGAGACAGCCCACATAGCCAGCTTTCCATTTCTGTAATAAATATCTGAGATAAGTCAACCTTCAAAGAAGCAAGTTTTACTTTGGCTCATAGATTTGGAGGCTTTACCCCTGGTGAAGATGGTATGATGGAATTCAGCTGCTCATGGCCCCAGAGGAAGATGGAGAAGATGAGCCTAGAGTTCCACTTTCATTTCCCAAGCTCACTCTGAATGCCCTAAGTAAGATCCCCCACTGGCCACTGAGTCTTAAGGGCCTATGCATACCCATAAGTTCCCCAGTGATTCTGTTGCTGCTGTTTCAAGGACCAGTAGGGCAAGTTCATTCCACTAGAGTGGATTGGTTAGGGAAAGGGAACTTAAGGCTGCTAAGTACCTAATTTCTAGTTGTTCAAGGTAGTCTCATGGGGATGTTTTAGTTCAAGCTGCTTTCATAAAGTACTATGAACTAGGTGCCTCTTAGACAACAGAAATTTATTTCTCAAGGTTCAGGATGTTGGAAATTTAAGATGAATTAGCATAGTTCGGTCTGATGAAGGCTGTTTTTTGGGCTATAGATTGTCAACCTTTCATTGCACCGACTGAAGAAGGCTGAAGAATTCTCTGGGGTCCTTGGTATGAGATCCCCTGTTTTACTCTTCAGTAGCACCAAAGAACCCAGTGCCTGTACTATCACATTTAGGATCTTAATATATGAAATTTAGTCCATTGGCAGGGAATAAATGCAGAGTCAAATATTTATATTTGTGTGCATAAATCCCTGTGGATGTTACTTGCTGATCTAGTGAGTCAATGGTCAGAATGATACAGGACACCACTGCTTGATTAGGAGTGTTAATAAAGATGCTTTGTGAGGAACCATGGCAATGTCAGTCTCCAGGGCATGTAGAGTTAACTCCTGTGGATTTCTGCACATCATTCATAACTAGTGGCTCCTCACCGTCGGTGTGGGGCAGGAACAATCCATTATGGAGGTATCAGAATGGTGCAAAAGTTTCTGGAAATGAACAGGTTATGTATCAACTAAGTTCCACTTTAATCTTGATTGGAGCCAGTGCCAAAGTGATTTGCTTGCATTCAACAAATTCATTAGTTCCTGTTTGGGCCGTCATTTTGTTTACATATCATTTTTATTATTTTTCAGGAAAGGGTGTAGGAAAGCTTTAATTGAATACTTGACAAAGACTCTAGGTTATTAAATTAGGACCCTTGGCTCCATACATTTATGTAAGGCTTGAGGCCTACAGAAGAAAATGTTACTGACTTTGGAAGCAATGGAAGTCAGTGCTTTTGGATATCCCTGACAAATGGCTCTCAAGCAAAGTCACAGGAGGCCTGCTGATCCCTTGGGAGAATGGATCTCCCGTCCAGGAGTCTGTGCTACTTCTTTTGGCTCCAGAGTTGGCAAAGCAGGTATTATGGTTTGGATAGGAAGTGTTTGTTCAAAACTCACATGTTGAAGTCTTGGATCCCAATGCATTCATATCCAGAGGTTAGGGCCTCTTGGAGGCAGTTTGGTCCTGAAAGTTCTACCGTCATCAATAGATCAATCCATTGACGGTGTCACAGTTTAAGTGATCTGTGGGGAATTAATGGAAACTTCAAGAGGTAGATTAGACTTGCAAGAAGTAGGACATTGGGGTCATGCCATGAAGGGTATGATTTGTCCTCAGTCTGTCCCTGACTCCATCTGTCTCTATCTGTCTTATGTCTGTCTGTCTATCTGTCTGTCTTTCCTTCCCAGCTGCTATGAACAGCTTCCTCCACCATATTCTGTCATCCTTACGGTGTTCTGTCTCATCAAGGGCTCCAAAGTGACTGGGCCAAGCATGAATTGAAACCTCAGCAGCATCTTATTTCAGAGCAAGAGGAGTATGGAGATTAGATTAGAAGTAAAAGAAGAAGTAAAATTCAGGCTTTCTTAAAAGATAAAAGTAGAGACAAATACTTGTTCAGCTCCATCTTGTGTTAGAATATTCTGAAGCCCGGTTTGCTCTGCAGGAAACAAAAGCCCTTTTAATTTAAGAATTATTTCAAGCTTAACAGAGAACTCCACACAAGGAGCTTTTTAGCTAAATTCAAGATTTTTCTCTTTGTCTTTATCATTTTTTAATTGCTTTTCCCATGCAAATACACACATAAATGTATACTTACTGGTGACTTACAAGAGTTTGAGAGTTGATTACAAATGTCATGTTCCTTTTATCTCAAAATAAATCAGTGTGTCTTTTCCAATAACAAAGGCATTCTCTTAAATCATCACCATATTGCCATCAAAATAAAAAATACTATTATTTAAATCACAACTCTCTTCAGATTTCATTCATTGTGTCAGTGATCACCTTCATAACTATTTACTTGGTCTGGGGTACATGATCATTTAGTATTTTCAGTGTTTTATATATTTAGTTTCTTTAATCAGGCTTAGTTCTTTAGTTTTTTAAATTCGTTGACCTTGACCGTTATTTTATTATTTCCTTGATTTGCTTTTCCTCAGGGTCAAATGATGCATTTTGGGCCAGTCAGTGCGTCTTCAGATTGGTGATGTCAACATTGATGACATGGTTTAGATGATGTGCACCTTTCTCCACTGTAGTGGATTGTTGAAAAAGACACATTCTAAAATGCCATGACCTATACAATAAAGTGTTTTTTAACAAAATGTACCAGATACCTCCTCATTTCTGTAAAAGTAATTTTCTGCCTCTCCCGACTAGGAGAAGAAAGGTGGAGACGTTATCTTGAATTTCATGTAGGTCCCTGGTTGGCAGAAGATGGTTTTTGTGGGTTGTGGCTTTCTGTCAGCTTTGACTGTGTCACTCACTTAGCAGCAAAGGTTTTCCTGGTTCAATGATCTTTCTCATCTGCTAAGTACATCCAGTAAAAAAGGCTCAGTTGGATGCTTGAACATCTGAGACACTTGCTCTGTTTTTCTTTGTTTTTTAAACAAAGAAACGGGAGGTTCGGAATACTTAGCAGGCAATAGCGTAGTAATTTAACAGCCCTTTAAAAAATTGCATATACGGTAACCTGCATTTTTGGAAATGATATGACAGTATCATACATCCCAGGAATTAGATTTTTTTTCTTCTCTTTCAAATTACCTTCTTAAAAAGAGAAGCACAGTAAGTGAATCACTTGAGAACTTGAGGAGAACTCACCATCCCTGCAGACTTGGGGACCCCGCAGGGCAGGCTGCCAAGCCAGGCTCACAGCAGCTTGAACTAGAGAAACTGGCTGAGGCGCCTGCGCGTGCGCGCTGCTGCCACCGCCGCCAGTTGCTGTTTGGCCGTTTCCATGGCTACGAAGACCATCAGCATGGTGTCCGAAGGGAAGAAAATGAAGCTCAAGAGCCTTCTGCTCAGATATTACCCGCCAGGTAAGGCGCCCCACATAGCGGGTACCTGCCCCCCAACATACTGGCTGTGAGGGTCTGGGGCGGAGGAGGGGTTGGGCCCCCAGAGGGCGGTGGGATCCCAAGTGAGTGACTTTGGTGGGACAAAGAAGGGGGGGGAGGCTTCCCTCCCTTCCCCCTCCCCCGCCGCTCAGCCTTTCAGATGCTGGACACTGCTCCTCAAAACACTTAGAGCGACGTATAGGAATTTTCAAAAACTTTTAAATGCCATGCTTCCTGGTTGTTCTTGAGTGAGGCTGCTTGGCCCGAGAGAGAATGATCGGTGGGTGTCCTGGGATATTGGTTTCTGGAAGGGAAGACAATAGAAGGATGTCATTGCTTTCTCTCTCTCTCTCTCTCTCTCTCTCTCTCTCTCTCTATATATATATATATATTATTGTAAAAATAGTGTACAGAGGGGTTACAGTTGCATGAGTAAGGTAATGAGTACATTTCCTATAGAGCATTGTTACCTCTTTTGTTTTTCCCCGACCATCCTTTCCCTTCCCACCTCCCAAACTCCTCCCTCCCTACCTCCCCAACAAGTTGTAAAGTTTGTTTTCAACATGGTGTCTTCTACATCTCATTGTTACAATGGGTGGATCTGTATCCCCATTTAAGCATTTTGTTTTTTCCCTTCCCCTCCCCAAATTAAGCACCAGAAGGATCAAGCCAATGTCAATGGAGGGTGAGAAGGAAAATGCACCCACACACAAGGCTTACTAAGCTAGTGACTGTAGCCTTTTCTGTCACCTGATCAACACACTGCCTGCTTGCTGTTTTTTACACGGTGCGCACCTTGCCATGTGAGTTTGAAGAAGGCAGTAGCCCTTGATTTTAATGAGTTAGCCAATTATGAAATACACTCACGAAATTCCATTGTTTCACAGTAGGGTGTGCTTCTCTGGTTCTCTTGTTTTTTGGTAAGGGTATGGCCACATTGAGAGAGAGGGAAAGAGGGGGGGGGACCTGACATCCAGTGATTCACTAAGCTTAACAAGGACAAAACCAGGAGTAGAATGCTTGGTTCCTATGACTGAACTCATATTAAAAATAATATGAATACAGGGAATGGGAAGGTAGCCCAGTGGTAGAGTGCTTGCCTTGCATGCATAAGGTCCTGGGGTTCGATTCCTCAGCACCACATAAACAGAAAAAAGCCAGAAGTGATGCTGGAGCTCAAGTGGTAGGGTGCTAGCCCTGAGCTGAAGAACTGAGGGACAGCACCCAGGTCCAGGGTTCAAGTCCCATGACTGACAAAATATGAATGCAAAATAAAGGATATGACACTTGCCACAGAAAAACACAGATGATCAAAAACAATGCTTGCCTGTCACGGAAAGTTTGAATGAAGAGATCATATAAAATTTCAAAGGAGAATAGGTTAAATTTGATTTATAGTTTTATGAAGGTAGGACTTAAAAGAATTTAAGGGGGCTGGGTGCTGGTGGCTCATGCCTGTAACTCTAGTTACTCAGAGGCTAAGATTTGAGGATTGTAGTTGGAAGCCCAGCCCAGGAAGGAAAATTTGTGAGACTCTTTATCTGTAATTAATAAACAAAAATTGAGAACTGGAACAGAGCCTTAAGCAAAAACGTTAAGGCAGCATCCAGGCCATGAGTTCAAGCTCCAGTACACATACACACACACACACACACACACACACACACACACACACACACACACACACAAATGAGGGTAAATATCTCATTTTCCCCAGCAAGCAGTCAATGGTTTAGTTAACATCTCTCCTGAAATATCTGATAGAATTTATGGTTCTTTTTCACTTATCCCATCGTAATTTTGCTTCTTTTACAGACTGCTCCCTGTTTGTAAATGGTATCACCACCCATCTAGTTTTTCTGAGAAAGCTTGGTAGTTTTCCTTCATGGATCCCTTTAAGTCCCTTTGCACTCTCTTATTCTAGAAACAGATTTGGCCAGCTCTGCTTCTGGAACAGTCTATGAATTCATCACAACAAAGTGTTCCTCTCTCCACTGTGATTTTCCTGGCTCAGCCTCTTACCAGCTACCATCTTTAGTCCAGTCTTCTATTCTGGCAGCCATGGCCCCTAGCTGGGCAAGCCTCTGAATTGCTGGTTTTCACCCTCTTCCCGCCAGTCTCTGTCATTAGCAGCTGGAGGAATCTGAATGGGAGGACCTCACACTCATTGTCTTCTTTCTGGATCTAACTTTCCTGAGGCCTTGGAATAACTGATCTCTTCATTTCATTTCAGACAATGCCATAAAACCAGAGATATCCTTATTTACAGTCTGTTAAATGTATCCCTCACTGATTTTTTTCTAGCCCACTTTTGTTGTATTTATCATCCATGGACACACTATTATGTTTAACTGTTCATGTCTGACCTATAGAATGTAAACTCCATGCGAACTAAAACTTCTCCTTTGTCCATGACTGGATCCTTAGCACCTAGACCAGATCCTGAGGCACAGGAGGCTCTGAGTGTTTGTTGAGTGACTGCATGTAGATGCCTGTAGATTATGACAAAGATCGGCCCAGACATGAAAACCGGGCTGCAACTTTCTCCAACATTAATTTTTGCAGAAAGCCACTCCTTGTAGGATTCCAAGTAAAATCAACTGAAAAGCCATTAGGCATGGGAGCTAGGAAATTAGTAACCTGTTCTCTTTAAGCACTCCATTTCCTCTTGCCTGTGCCTGCACATAAGCCAGTGCTGGTTTTTGTCCCTTCTAATGAATGATCACCCTGCCTTTGTCCCTTTCTTGGGGGTGCAGGTCGGAAATATGGAGTCTGAGATCCAAATGCCTGGCTGAAGCCACGGATGAACTTTTCCCCTAGGCCAGTCTGTAACGGTCGTCAAGCTGTCAGCCAGCCTGGTGACAGTAACACATCCCTCACTGCTGACTCATTTGCCTCTCTCTCCTTGAGGGAATGCGTCTTCCATCACTTCAGTGTTTGCACTCTGAATGCTCCCTACACCAGTTCCCCACCCCCCTCCCCTTGTGGCCATCCATCTTTCCTACCTGAGCTGCATCCAACCCAACCGACTCCTCTGTCCACTGCGGGCCAGTGCACCTCACAGGGGAGCCAGGCTCCTGTGCTCCCCCGTCATCCAGTTAACTGTAGCCTGATTTCTCCGCTTGCTCAGGCCAATGTTTTGGGCTCATCTTTGTCTCCATTCTTTATCATCTGGTCCAGTAACAGTCTTGGCAGTTTGGTTTCAAACTGGATGTAATCCAATGATAGCTCTGTGCTGTGAAAGGTCCACGCTGCCCACGCTGTCCACGGCTAATGCTCCCACTCTTATTTCATTTCAGTCTCTTTTCCCCACTAGGGATGACTATAGTAAAACACAAATCTGACCGTTTTGCTCTTTTCCCAAGCCCTTCGTAGTCTCTTCAACCCAGGTATTGGTGACAGGGTGATCGTGCAGGCCCTGCAGGCTGACTGACCCTTGTTACCTGCTCTACTCCCAGGTGACGTGGGCTAGCCCTGTGTGTCTGCCATTTAGAGCTTCTGAAGTTGCTGTTCCTTCTGCTTCGCATAATCTTCCCCTGGGCATTTACATGTGCTGCATCCACATGTGCTGTAAACATGAATGAAGCGCAGGCTTAGACGACTTCCCTTTCTAAAATGTTTGTCTTCTCCAGATGTTTCACAGTTGGTCCTCTTTTTACATTCGTCTTGTCTTCTTAGGGCTGTCTCAGTTCAACACACATACATACAGACACACACACAGACACACACAGACACCGTAATTTCACTTATTTTTCTTGCCTTGTCTTCTCTACAAGAATACCATCTGTATGAGGGCAGGCCCTTTGCCTCTTTTGTTGATTTTGAATCCCTGACATCCATACATTTATTGACTACAACACATATGATGAGATGATTTTTTTCCCTTTTGTTGCTCGTAGGGCCTGAACTTTGCTCCTGGGCACTATCCCTCAGCTCTTTAGCTCAAGGCTAGCGCTCTACCATTTGAGCCACAGCACCACTTCTGGCCTTTTCTGTTTATGTGGTGCTGAGGAATCGAACCCAGGGCCGTATGCATGCAAGGCAAGCACTCTTCCACTGAGCCACCTTCCCAGCCTGAGATGATGTGTTTTAAGTAGACGGTTAAAACTCTTTGGGAAAGAGTTCATCTCAGTGATTCCGCTCCTACTTCAGTTCTAACAGAAGCAGCCTTCAACTCCAGAAACACATTACACCCAGCCTGGCAACTTGGTGCCTTAATGATTATTTTATAATGAGATCATATTACTTAGCACATTTAAATATTTCATTTCCAAATTCCAATCTTTGGTGTGTCAGGTGATAGGCAAGGTCCCAAGATTCCACTGGATAGTAGGTGAGTGTTTCAATGACCTAATCAAATAGGAAAAAGATTGCTTACGACTGACTCACGCCTGTGCCACCTTGGATCCCGTGTGCATCCACTCATTTCAGCCCTCCCACTGCCACGTGAATGACATACAGATGTGGAGCATTCTCCGGTTAGCCTCCATAGAACTTGCCTCTCTAGCTCCATTCCTGATGACTAAACATACATAGTGATGCATCGGTAACCAGACACGGGCGTTTCCTTTTGAATTCGATCCTGTTCCTGAATCCCAACACTCTGGGCATTGGGAAGAGCTGATGCTGACCGTTTGTTCTTCAAATGACTCAGTTACAGCAGGCACCATCTTTTATTTTTTGTAAGAGATCACGAGCTGTTTAGCTAGGAGAAAGAACTGCACAGCATTAATTAAACTGGTTAATGTTCTGAGTGCTTTTAAGGTATCTGTTGGTCGGATTAGAGAATATAGGTCATGTTTGAATAGAACCTTTTATATACCATAAAAAAAATTGAGATAGGAGATTCTTACTGCCTCATGACTATGAGAAGATGAAGAACATGGAAGTGTTCTGTGAAACAGTCACCAGAGAAAGACAAACGTATCAGTATCTTTGTCTAATCTTGCTTACATTCTGCCTAGCATACATCACAGCTCCTT